GCAGCTCAGGAGAGGTCTGCGTCATGTGGGTCAGCTCCTTGGCCAGGATCCAACTCATGGTGTGGTGGCTTCGGAGTGCTGAGACTTAACCCCTTGTGCCACCAGGGAGGACTTTTGTGTATCTATCTTTGTGTCAATACCATATTGTCTTTAATAACGTTGTTTATTGTAAAGTTTGAAATCAGGCAATGGATGTCTTCATTTCTCTTCTTAATTGAGGTCTTTATGTGCTTCCACTTAAAAATTTTTTTTGGTTCAGTTTTGTTAAATTTTAATATTTCTGTTCAGTTTCTGCAGAAAATGCTGCTGGGATTTTGATCAGGTTGCATTAAATTTGTATATCATTTTGGTCAAGTCAGTGTTTTGACATTAGGGATTCTCCCTTCCATGAGCTCGGATTTCCCTTTATTTCCCCATGCTGCAACCAAAGTCCTTTTGTGCTACTTGTGGTTCTTGTTGTGTAGGGTCTTTCAGTCTTTGGATTCTGAAGTATTTCTTTCTTTTTGAAGCAGTTATAAATGGAGTTATTTTCTTTATTGTTTGCTTCTTGTTCATTGTATATATAAAAAAGCTATGTGTTTTTGCATGTTGGTTTTATAGCCTGCCACTTCACTCTATTTATTTATTGTTTCTAATAACTTTTTTTTAAAGATTTCTTTATCTATGCATACAGAACTGGGGTACAGGCCAGAGGTGCAAGGGTGGTGAGAGGCTTCACCAGAGACAGAGTGGGGAGCAGAACAGGCAGATCTACTGAAGTACACTGCTGAGGGGAACAGTGGGTGAGGTCAGTCACACTAGGTGGGTCACCTCTGGGCCTGAGAATAGAGTTCACACTGAAGTGACTGCTGAGAGCTTGCAGTGCTGTGCCTTAACCCGTTGTGCCACTGGGAGGACCCAGACCACAGATCTGATAGTGGACAGAGGGGCTGTACCACATAGATTAGGTGTTCAGTAGCTGATGCCATCTGGGTTTGTGTAATTCCACTCTGTGGCATTCAAACAATCATGAACTCACTTATTGACACATGTCCCAGAACGTATCTTGTTAAGTAAAGCACAACTCTACTTACATAATTCTTGGTGCCTGAGTTATCTCTATTGAGAACTACAAAACAGCACAGCTCTGGCTGAAGGCTTCTATTTCCTCGGACAGAAGGACAAGACATTTTGCAACATTTGCCCTCAGGGAGACATAGGTGTGACCATCCATACTTGCTTGGCCTATTAACATTTAGGATGTACATTCCAGGAGGCAGTATCTGAGTCTATTCAGCTTGTTTTTTTTTTTTAAAGATTTATTTATTTATGCATACTTAAAACAGGAGCAGAGGCCAGAGGAGCTGGGTCAGTGAGAGGATTCACCAAAGACAGATCAGGGAGTAGAACAGGCTGATCAACGAAGTCCACTGCTGAAGGGAGCAGCGGGGAGACAGGAGAGGTCTGCTGCCCTGTTGGTCCATGGAGGGCTTACTCAACTTGCTTTTTGTATGCGGTGACTGGCCACAGAAGCAAACAAGGGACAATGACAACTTTGTGATAAAGATCTTCTGGTTTTAAGACAGGAAGTTGGTTAGGAAGAGAGAAAAGGCTGTATGAGGAAGAGTGTATAGGCCACTCACTCTGGGCCCCCTCCCTCTTCGTTCTTTGTGTCTTTCAGCAACTTCTCCCTCCTACTTCTCTTTTCTGCCTCTCCTGGGTCTAGTGGCTCTCTTGAAGACTTGGCTCATAGTACGCAAGATTGCTGCTTACAACCATGATTCACAGAATCCTTCTGTTAACAGGTGTGTCTGGGCCTGGGGGTCCCTCAGGGTAAGGAGGAGGGGAACATTTGCATCAGGGATTGGAGAGAAAGGGTGTATGCAGAACATCTAGGGGTTAGACCAAGGCAAAGCCAAAGGACTGGGAGAAGGATGGAGGTTCCAGAAGAAGCAGAGGGTAGAGTTTGGTCAAGATGGGATGACCAGAGAAACTTGGATGAATGACTAACTGCACAGACTAGGCAAGATGGTTTAGCCTGTCCCTTCACTTCAAAGATGAGAAAACCGCACCTCAGAGAGGTAAAACAGCAGCAGCGACTGGACGCTCCTCTTAGACTCTTTGTTCTTGGATTCTATGTTCCACCTTCACTTTGCTTTTTGTTCTATTGCCAAGGACCCAGATGTTAATGTGTGTTGAATGACTAACTGATCAAAATGATTGAAGCCTGATCAAAATGATCATTTCTTTTTATGCCTGTTTCTTTATGATGAATTAGTCAAAAAAAAAAAAAAAAGGAAAGGGACATTTGCAGAGGAAGGAAATTAGTTGAGAGCCTTTAGGGATTTGATTGTTGGGCAAATCAAGGTGGTGTCAGGGTGGACCATCCCCTTGGTGGTCCTTAGTCCAGGAGTCAGCAAACTATGGCCTGTGGGCACTAGGCAAAGATTTTACCACCTGTTTTTGTACAACAGGCAAGCCATAGTTTGTGGACAAATACTTATAATTAGCTTGTGATAAACAATACTAACTTTGGTGGTTTTTTTGCATTTTTATTTATTTTATTTATTTTTACTCACCACCACTCCTTGTATCTTCATGTCCTTTTCCTTCTCCCTCTCTCTTCACCTCCCTCTCTCTTCACCTCAGAGCTCTCATGATGTTTGTTGATATCCAGTAGTTTTTGAAAGTGTTTTATGTGGTGGGATGGTCTATTATGTGAATGTTCAGTATTTGTTTTTATTGTGCTGACTTTTGGTGCACATTTTTTTTTCAAATTCCTCCCATGTTGTTGAAAATGATTGCACTTCATCCTTTCTCGTGGCTGTGTAGTATTCCACAGCCTGTATGTATGTCTTTTTAATCCATTTGTCCATTGAAGGAGAGTTAGTCTGCTTCTATGTTGTTGCAGGTCTGATATCTAAATCTTTGTTTCATTTGGAATTTATTTTTGTGTATGGTGTTAGCAAGTAATCCCACTTCATTCTCTCATGTGTGAATTTCAAATTTTTCCAGCACCATGTGTTAAAGAGGCTGTCTTTTCCTCATTTTGTGTCATTAGATGCTAGTATATGTATGGATTTATTCCTGAACTTCTAATTCTGTTCCACTGGTCTGTATATCTATATTTCTTAAAGATTTATTTATTTATGTACGCAAGAACTCGGGCACAGTCCAGAGGTGTGTGTGGGGGTGGGGGTGAGAGACAGAGCTGGGCACAGAACAGGCAGATTGACAGAAATACACTGCTGAGGGGCACAGCATGCAGCTCAGGAGAGGTCTGCGTCATGTGGGTCAGCTCCTTGGCCAGGATCCAACTCATGGTGTGGTGGCTTCGGAGTGCTGAGACTTAACCCCTTGTGCCACCAGGGAGGACTTTTGTGTATCTATCTTTGTGTCAATACCATATTGTCTTTAATAACGTTGTTTATTGTAAAGTTTGAAATCAGGCAATGGATGTCTTCATTTCTCTTCTTAATTGAGGTCTTTATGTGCTTCCACTTAAAAATTTTTTTTGGTTCAGTTTTGTTAAATTTTAATATTTCTGTTCAGTTTCTGCAGAAAATGCTGCTGGGATTTTGATCAGGTTGCATTAAATTTGTATATCATTTTGGTCAAGTCAGTGTTTTGACATTAGGGATTCTCCCTTCCATGAGCTCGGATTTCCCTTTATTTCCCCATGCTGCAACCAAAGTCCTTTTGTGCTACTTGTGGTTCTTGTTGTGTAGGGTCTTTCAGTCTTTGGATTCTGAAGTATTTCTTTCTTTTTGAAGCAGTTATAAATGGAGTTATTTTCTTTATTGTTTGCTTCTTGTTCATTGTATATATAAAAAAGCTATGTGTTTTTGCATGTTGGTTTTATAGCCTGCCACTTCACTCTATTTATTTATTGTTTCTAATAACATTTTTTTAAAGATTTCTTTATCTATGCATACAGAACTGGGGTATAGGCCAGAGGTTCAGGGGTGGCGAGAGGCTTCAGCAGAGACAGAGTGAGGAGCAGAACAGGCAGATCGACAAAGTACACTGCTGAGGGGAGCAACGGGAGGGTCAGGAGAGGTCTGCCACGCCATGTGGTCACCTCCGGGGCAGGTGGGAATCGAACTCATGTGGAAGTGGCTTTAGCTTCTTAGTGCAGTGCTTTAACCTGCTGTGCCACCAGGGAGGACCCTCTAATAACTTTTTAATGAACTCTTTTGGGTCTCCTCTATATATGCACTGAAAAAGTTGCATTTTTTTCTTAACTTATTTGGAGAAAACTTGTGTTTTCCTGAGAGCTCTGGCCAAAACTTTGTGGAGTAGTTGAGGAACTGGAATTGGTGAGAGATGGTAGCTTTAAAAGTGGTCTGGGATGAGCAATCCTACTTCTAGGTATCTACCCAAAAGACTCAAAAACACTGATTCAGGAAGATACCTGCACCCCCATGTTTACTGCTGCTTTATTTACAATTGGAAAAACATGGAAGCAGCCCAAATGCCCAAAAGTATATGATTGGATTAAAAAGATGTGGTACATACACACAATGGAATATTACTCAGCAACCAAAAAAAAAAAAAAAAAGAAAGAAACACATGAAACAAGTTGTAGAGCTGGAAAAGATCATGCTTAGTGAGATAAGCCAGAAAGAGAAAGAAAAATACTGGATGGTTTCACTCATAGCAGGAGTATAATGGACCAGGCGAGAAAATAATAAGAATAATGAACAGCCATATACCAGAGACATTTTGTGGGGGTGGAGTGGGGAATGGGATCAAAAACAGGGTGGGGAGGGAAATGTACGGGACTATGGTGATGGCACAGGGTGACTTGGTGATGGGAAGCCCACGGGGATTACAACTGAGATGGAAAAAGGCACAATGATGATATAAAAATAGACTAAAATATTATATTAAAAAAAAGTGGTCCGGGGGAGCCTCCTTAGTGGCACAAGGGGTTAAAGCACAGCACTGTAAAGCTATCTGCAGCTACAGCCACTGCAGCATGAGTTCCATCCCCAGCCAGGGAGGTGACCCACAGGGCGCGGCAGACCCCTCCTGACCCACCCGCTGCTCCCCTCGGCAGTGTACTTCAACAATCTGCCTGTTCTGCTCCCCACTCTGTCTCTGGTGAAGCCTCTCACCTCCCACACCTCTGGCCTGTATCCCAGTTTTTGTATGCATTAAAAAAGAGAAAAAAGCAGCCTGGGGTGATAGGCACCAGAGGGTCACCTCCAATAGACTCAGGAGTTTGAAATTCCTGTTGTTAAGTGTTTCTCTGTATGTGGGGTGGTGGAGACAGGTGTTTTCTATTGCAGCCTTGGATGGGGTGTTCGGGGTTCTCAGCCTGGATGTCAATAGTAGTCTCTTCTACTGTGCTCTGACCTGATTCAGGCTACAGCTGTTCTGTGTGCTTCACAAATCTTCATTTCTTATCTGAGCCCTCATCTGTGTAGCTCTCCAGCAAAGCACCCTCCCTCTCTGGGTGTCTGCTCGCCCCTCTTACCCAGTGCGGGTGCTGGGACCTTCCCATTGTCGGCAGGTGCCCAAGTCTGCACCAGCCGCTCCTCCCTGTAAAACCTGTGGTTTTACTGCCCTGTTATTACTTTAATCAAAGTTCACTCTCACTTTTCCTATCCCTTTCAGTCAAGCTGACACACCTTTTGTATAAGCTGATGACCAACTTTCCCTTCGGTTTCGGCTTCGTTTTGCAACAGTGCTGTGGGGGTGTCTGGAGGGGCCGCCCTGTCTTCATTCTGCCGCCATCTTGCCAGACTCAAGCAACACTTCACTGCTGAAGTGAAATGTTATGTCCCCTGAGAACTGTGTTTGTCTCATTATAGGTTAAAACAAAACAAAACAAAACAAAACAAAACAAGAAAACGATTGTACTCAATTATTTTATTTTGAATTTCCTTGATGAAAAATTTTGTGAAGATGCATTTTCTCTCTGGTCGTATCAATACCTTAATATATAATTTATTTGCCTCTGGACCCACAAAACCTAAGCTGTTTGTTCTCTGGCTCTTTAGAGAAGTGTGCAGACCTCTGCCCCAGGCGATCGGACCTGGACTTCTGGTGTCGGGTTCCCGCGGGCCACGCTGGGAGAAGCTGCCTGGGTCAGCAGGGCAGGCTATGGCCTCACTGCCTTGTTCTTTCCTCCAGCCTTGGCGTTATGTGAGGCGTTCAACCTGGACACTGAAAATGCAGTGGTCTTCCGAGAGCAAGCCAGGGGCTTCGGGCAGAGTGTGGTCCAGTTTGAAGGGTCCCGGTAAGGGCTCACGTGGGGGCCGGTTGCTGTCTTACCCTCTCTCCATCCAAGACTTACATTCCTGAAGAAGAGAAATTGCAATTCCTTCATATATTTTCTAAGTAGATAATAATGTAACAGGGTATTTAAGTTAAAAGACACAAAGGAGTATGTAGCAAGTCTGCAGGCTTTCTCCAGTGCAGGCTTTCTCTCTGTGCATGCCCCGCCTCCCTCCTCCCCCGACTTCTGGCACAGGTTATAGTAGACGGAAGCCTGCTGATTATTTTTGCAAAAAATGATAAATTATATAGATCACCCTCTCCGACTCTTATCATTTATGGTGGCTTTGGAGCTACTGTGGCTGAATCAAGAGACTGAGCCTACAACTGGTTAGCCTGGAAATCTGAAGTATTTATCTTGACAGAAACAATTTTTATGGAAATAATGTCTTTCTAGGAAGAACCTGCTGACTTCTGCTCTATACTGTCCTTTGCAATTTTTTTTTTCCTTTTTAACAGAACTTGATTTTACTAGATAACTACATAAAGAACTTTCTCATTTTCTTTTATGCTCGGATCATATTCTACTATCTGGACATACTGCAATGTACATGTACCTTTCCATGTAAAGGCTATGAGACGGTCTCCAAGCCTCAATTACCTGAGCAATGCTGTCTTTTTCCATGTGCAAGAATACTTGAAGGCAAACGCCTAGAACTGGATTGCAGAGTCAAAGTGCACCTCAGCCTCAGCCTATGTACTTTTTTTTTTATTAAAAAGTTTATTTTTACATCATTTTGCACATTTTTTTTTCATCTCAATCTCAATTGTAATCCCCACGGGTTTCCCATCACCAAATCACCCCTGTGCCACCACCATAGTCCTGTGCATTTCCCTCCCTCCCCCCCCCCGTTTCAGCCTATGTACTTTTAATAGATTTTTCCAGGTGGCCCTCCACACAGGTGGGCACAACTGACTCACATCAACACTTTACAGAACACCTACTGCCACACCCATCTGCCAAAGACACGTTATCAAACTTACTGAGCTTTGCAAATTGTAATGGTGAAAACCTTTTGCTTCATTTAGTTTTAAGTTGCATCTCTTTTTCAATGAAAGATGCATGTCTTTTCCTGTGGACTTTTACTGTTTCCCATTTCTCTGCCGGGTTATTGTATTTTCCCCAGTAGGTTGGTAGGTGCTTGGCCCTATTGAGGCCCCTGTCTGTCTTTTGACTGCTTACCATAGTTTAGTACTCACAGAAATTAACTCAAAATGACTGTGTGGTTGCATTTATCACTTTTGAATGACCCCTGGGTTTTGTGTCATTCTTAGGGAGGCCTTTCCCTTTCCAAGGTTTTTAATTTTCCATTTTTTTTTTCTTTGTTGAGTCTTCTTCCTGCTTCTGGGAACTGGGGGATTCCTGTGAGTTTGCCCCCCCACCCCCATCTTCTGGGGGCAGAACTCCTTCTAGAGCCCCCTTCTCGCTCTACCTGTTAGTGCTTTCTCTTACCCCTGTGGGTGTCTGTACCCACTTCTCCCCCAGGGTGGTGGTCGGAGCCCCCCTGGAGACAACGGCTGCCAACCAAACAGGCGGCCTGTACGAGTGTGATTACAGCACCGGCCGCTGCAGGCCCATCACCATGCAGGGTGAGTGGCCGCCCTCCCGGGGCCAGGATCCCACCTGGTGTCCATGTCCCCCCGGGCTTGTTAGGGGTCTCTCTGTTGCAGGGCGGGGGTGGTCTATGGTGGGGTCCCGTTCCCCCGCCTCTGTGCTTTGCAGATTACCCCTCAGCACCCTCCCCAGGACCTTCTGCCCTCTTGACCTGTCAGACTCCTGTGTCTCCCAGGTGAGGGGGCCCCATTACACAACCCTTCTGTTTCCGAGTATGACCATGTATATATCCGTGCTCCCAGCCCCCCCAGAGGCTGTGAACATGTCACTGGGCCTGTCCCTGGCGGCCACCACCACACCCCCTCGGATGCTGGTGAGTTGTTTGGGGTCTCTGGAGAGACATGACAGGATGCTGGGGCTGGGGACCTGGAGCTACTGGGGTTGGGGTTTTGTGGAGGGTGGAGGAACTGGGGTGAAAAGGCAGGAAGCAGGGGTGGCCCCTCCTACTCTGTCGCTGACCCCTAGGCCTGTGGCCCCACTGTGCACCAAATCTGCAAGGAGAACACCTACGTGAATGGCTTCTGCTTCTTGTTTGGGTCCAACCTACACCAGAGTCCCCAGAGATTCCCTCAGACCCTCAGAGGTAGGTGCATGGGCAGAGTACAGGCGGCAGCGGGAGGCCGGTGGGGACCTATGGTGGTCTGAGGGGTGACGCAGAGGCCCAGGCGCGGAAGAGCCGGTGGCTGGGGAGGCGCTAGGCTGCGCCCTTCCCCGAATGTCCTGCTGGGCCACTTATCGCAGCCACTTATGGCTGCGAGGTGATCTCCCAGCCACTGTCCCTAGACTAAGGGCTTGGCTCTCTCGCTGGAGTGCCAGGCAGAGGCGCGAGGCCCGAGGCGGTGTGGCCGTCCGCCCTCTGCTCAGCCACTGTGTTGCAGCCACCCTGGCTGCCTCTTCTCTTCAAGAACGTGCCTCCACGGAGCTGTGACCTTCCGAGTTGACGTCTTTCTCTTGCTTAACGTATTTGCGATTCACCCCCCTCTGGTGTGTGACTCACCCCTGGGTCTGCCCCCTGCAGCCACCATCGCCCCTCGGCTGAGTAGTGTCCTTTTACTGAGTAGGACCTCATCCTACTCATCCACTCGCCAGTTCATCCACTCACCAGAGGTGGGTCTTTGAGTGGTTTCCTGTGTTTCGCCATCATGACGAGACTGGAGAAAGAGCATGAAGGAAGTCAGAGCAGGGCTTCCTAAAATGTCGTGGATGCTCTCACTGCTTTTCATCTATTTATTTTCAACTTGTAAAGTATATTCATTACATCATCCTTCCTTTTTGTACAGCGTATGATTTCCCTGTGACGTCCCCACCACCTGCTCACCGTGGGCCGTCTCCACAGCCCTTGTGCTCTCTCTCCCTCTGCTGCACTCTCGCTGCTTTTGCTAGGGTCCATCAGTGCCTCCCACTGCCTGGGGGAGGTCTGACTCCGTTAGCCACACCGAGAGGCGCTCCCCCACCCTCCCGCAGTGTCAGCCTCCTCCCCATCCTACCACCTAGGTTTATCCCGGTAGGCCACCTCCAGCCCTTGACTCCCCAGAATCCTCTTAGCCATCCCCTTTGGTTCAGCTGGGGTCTTGATGGCACCCTCCGGTTGGGAGAAGGGCAGGAGGGCTGGTTTAGAAAGGTGAGACAGGAACTAAGGAAACCATGAGAAGGTTCAGCATCCACAGTGAGGAGCACAGCGGGCTGTGGCCACCGCTGGCTGGCGGTGTGAGGAGGGAGAAGGGGTGGGCATGGGCTTCCTTGAGAGGAATAATGAAGGACACAGGCCCAGGGTCACCTCCGAGGGTGAGCCGGGGAGCATATGCTGATCTCCCTCTCTTCCCCCCTGGTTCGTCTCTCTCCCCTTCTCTGCTCCCCGCTCTTCCTCTTCCTTTCCCCTGCCTTCCCTCCCTCCCTGCCCCTTTCTCCCTTCCCCTGCCCCCTCGCTCCCCCTCCTTCCTGCTTTCTCTCTTTCTCCCTTTCCTCCAGCCCATCCCTGTCTGATGCTCATAACTGGGCAGGTCTGACTAGAAGTGGGGCAAAGGAGCCCATGGATGACGTCCACGTGGGGGAGGGTAGGCAGTGGGCTTGGTCTGGAGAAGGGGGAGGACACCGTGGTCTGTGCTGTTCCTTTTCCTGTGGTTAACTGCTTCCTTTGTATTTCTGGCTCTTCCTGAGCTGGCCACGTGTCCCTGCTTTCCCTGGCCCCTTGGGTAATCTAGCATGTTTCCCCATACCGCTGGGTCCATGTTCCTGCGTGCTTGAAGCATGGATGGAATCTTGTCTACCTTTGTTTGGCTGCTCAGAGAGCTGACGCGCATAAGGGCCCCCCAGAGTCTCACCCTAACCAGCCTCCCGTGTCCCCAGAGTGCCCTCGGCAGGAGAGCGACATTGCCTTCCTGATTGACGGCTCTGGGAGCATCGACGCCAGGGACTTTCAGCGGATGAAGGAGTTTGTCTCAACGGTGATGGGTCAATTCCAAAACTCCAGAACCTTGGTGAGGGCCAGTGGGCAGAGAGGGGATAGCCCACAGGAGGTTGGCAAGTCCATGGTGACCAGGGCACCACCTCCCTCCCATTTCATTTGCAGATATTGTCAAATTGCCATAAGATCCATGCCGTAAGCATGGATTTCTCTCATGGTTCCCTTTCCTGCTCTGGCTGGAAGTAGCCTCAGCATTCTTCCAGCCCCGGGAAAGCAGGCAACTCTGACTAATTGCTGGGGGTGTCAGGGGAGACCAAACCTACCCACCGTCTCTGGCTGAGTCCTGGGCTGGGCACTGGAGCAGATGGCACGCTCTGTCCTGGGAGGCAGAGGGGCGGCACCTGAGGCCCCCTGAGGGATTCGACCAGAGTGTTGTAGGGTTTCTGTAGGGCTTGCTGGGGACGGCGGGAGTGGGGCGCTGCCTGTCCAGCATAATGCCAGCTGCCCCGCCCCAGTTCTCGTTGATGCAGTACTCTGAAGACTTCCAGACTCATTTCACCTTCAGCGAATTCCGCAATAATCCCGACCCCGAATCACTGGTGAAGCCAATACAGCAGCTGCGGGGAAGGACACACACGGCCACGGGCATCCGCAAAGTGGTGTAAGCCCCCTCTAGGCTTGGGGGAAGGAGGCCACGCTCTTAGCTGGGCTTTGGAGGAGGCGGGGAGGGTGCAGTGGGGTATTTCCAGTGGGGGCGCAGCACGCATGACCGTGTGGAGGAGGGGCTGTGCGTGGTGGTGTTTGTGAATAAATACACTGTCAGTGAAGTGGGGCAAGTGGTGGTTGGAGGAAGACTGGGAAGTCCGGGGGGTCAGGTCACAAGTGGGGTCCATTTGGAGCCGTGGGGAGACGTCATCAGTCTTGTTTCAGAACTCTGGTCTCTCTCTTTGCCCCCCAGAGGTGAGGGTGAGGTTGGGGCAGAAGTGCAGGAAAATCAGCAAGAGGGCTGACGCATCAAGCCTACAGAGGTTTCACAAGGGCTCAGTTAAGCTTATTTAAAATGTTGCTCATTGCAAAGGACAAATTGTCTAAAATAATATCAACCCACCGGAAGGTAGACAAAGACAAAGATGGCTCCCCGCCCTCCATCTGCTCCTCTCCTGCTGCTCTTTCAGGTCGTGGGCACCACTGCTCAGTGTGGCCCCAGGGAGTCCCCGCTCAGGACAGTCCCGGCTCTGGCCCCTCGGTGTTTGTGACCGGCCGTAGCCCTAGTATTAAGGGCACTTCTGCCCGTGGGCATCTGACTGTTGCTCCCCTTTCCGGACAGGAGAGAACTGTTTCACAGCAGCAGTGGGGCTCGGGAAAATGCCCTTAAGATCCTAGTTGTCATCACGGATGGAGAAAAGTTTGGCGATCCCTTGAGTTACCAAGACGTCATCCCTGAGGCGGATCAGAAGAACATCATCCGCTACGTCATTGGGGTAGGAGAGTGGCCCCCTGGCCTGAGGTGTCTCTGGGGGACCGCCCTGGATGCACCTTCTCTTCCATTCTCAAGAGTCAGTTAACTCACAGTGGGACAAAGGTCGCCTCTTCCCCTGTGCCCTGTACCAGCTCCCTGTGGTCAGGGTGACCCCAGTGAGGTGGCTCACCCACCTGAGTCTGCAGGTAGCTGTGTCAGGGGCTCACTGGCGTCTGATCTGCTCTCTTGGCTGACTCTGTCTGAGGGCTGGCAGCTGTGTCTGTCTGTCTGACTGGAGTGGCTGGAACCCCAGGTTCCCAGACCCTTCTGAGCCCTGGACCACCGCTTGCCTGTGTGAGCGGTGAGGGCAGAGGCAGAGAGGAGTGGCCACCCCTTCCCACTTTGCCATGTAGGTCTTCACTCATCTGGGAAGGTGCTTTCACGCTTGAGCAGTTTGTGTTGGAGCCTGTCAGAGGAATCCAAATGAAAGAGACTGATTGGAAAGTTTTATGGGATTTTGTATTTAAGAGTTCTAATTTTCAGAGTACAAAGTATTGAAGAAATTTCTACTAGTGTGTTGTTACCTTGCTTAGTATTTCAGTGTCTGTTATCTCATCAGAAGAGAGAGCTTAAAAGTGGGCATGTTTGCCTGAAGACCTCTTCCAGTATGATTAATAAATGTGGGGCCTCCCTGGTGGCACAGGGGTTAAAGTCTAGGTGCTATCAAGCTGTCACCAGCCACTGTGGCTTGATATCAGCCAGGGGGCTGACCCACACGGCACAGCAGACCTCTCCTGACCTGACACTGCTCCCCTCAGCAGTGTGTTTCAGTAGATCTGCCTGCTCTGCTCCCCACTCTGTCTCTGGTGGATCCTCTCCCCTCCACACCTCTGGCCTGCACCCCAGCTCTTCTTTACATAAATACATAAAAATAAATCTTAAAAAAGATTAATAAATGATTGCAAATTAGTCACTACCTCGTTGATCTATCCATGGGTTAAATTGTTACTAAATGACATGGCCCAAATTCCTGAATATCAGCTCTATTATCTATTTATTTTATGTCAACATAATTGATATTTTAGGTGGAAAACGTAATGATTTGTACCTATTACTAAATAACCACCACAATAATTCTAGTTACCTTTCCTCTCCACACAGTTAGAATTTTTTCATTTTGTGATGAGGGTTTTTAAGATCAACGCCCTTAGCAGCACTGCAAATACGTCAGGAGTGGGTACGCCATCTTTGCCTTGTGGTAGAAGTACTGTCGTTTTTCACTTCCGTCACCCTTCTGTCTGGGAATTTTGGGCCTTTGACCTTCTTAAGCCACATCACTCAGCCCCTGCACCCCACTCTGTCAGCCCCACACTACGAGGCACAGCACAGCAAGTGGACCCCAGGCTGGATTTCAGCCCTCGTCACTCCCTTGACATGATGTCCTATGTGTGTGTGGCCTGCTCTGCTCTGCTTGGCAGCCCGCTCCCTGGGTCTTCAGGCACGTTCCCTCCTTCATTCTTTGCTTCAGATTCTTTTCTTGTGGAATGTTCTTCGCTGGGTGAGCTCACTACCTCTAACAGTGTTGACTTGGCTTCTGTTCCTTGGTAACAGGTGGGGTCTGCCTTCAACTCTGAGAAGTCCCGCAAAGAGCTTAATACCATTGCAACCATACCGCCTCGAGATCATGTATTCCGGGTGAATAACTTTGAAGCTCTGAAGACCATTCAGAACCAACTTCAGGAAAAGATCTTTGCCATTGAGGGTGAGCGAGGGGTCTGTATTCCAGAGCAGCTCCAGAGGTAGCCTCACCCCAAAATGTGTACTCGCCTCTAGAAACCAGAACCTCCTAATCCTGGCTATCTAGATTCTTATCTTTAATTAACTTTCTCCCCTTCCTTCAGTTCCAAGAAACCCTGACCTCACTTGGCCAATTCTTTTCAAATGAGATCTAGGTTTCTATCCTAATTTTGTAAGGCTTTGCTATAGCCTGAAAAGCTGGAGGGCAGGGGACCCAAATGCCACACCCCCCAATTCAGGTGCATTCCCAACATTTATCTGCTTCATTTTCTACTGGATCCCCTGAGCCTGGTGCCTGGAGAGTGCTCAATGATTGTGGCATAGAAGAATTAGAAAATTAAGGGAGGGTTCTCACACAACCTGGATTTACAGTTCCTCTTAAGAAGTTGGAAGATCAGACACTTGAGAACCTCATTCCCACTTGGCAAAAGTGATGGGAGCAGAAGAGCCATCAGCCCTGAAAGGGGGCACGTGCTTTCTACTCAACAGCAGCCCACCCCCCGACCTCCTCCTGTCCTCTGGCCACCATAGAATGGGTGTGGGTTCCATTCTCGGTTCTTCTGCCTGGATGTTAATGTGCAAAGTTCTCTTCCCAGGTACTCAGGTGGGAAGTACCAGCTCCTTTGAGCATGAGATGTCTCAGGAAGGCTTCAGTGCAGCCATCACCTCTGTAAGTGGCCTTTCGTTAAATCAGAAGGAGGGGCGTAAGGAAAGGAGATCCCTTCTTTGTAGGGAGGCACCGCTTTCATGGGCAGCTGTGATCGCCTCTCTCTTTTTGTCAGTTCGGTTTTTAGTTTTATTTGGGGTGTAATTGATCTACCATGTTATGTGAGCTTCAGGTATATGACATAATGGTTTGGTATATTTGCATATATTGTGAGTCTAGTTAACAGTTATTAAGTCTAATTAACATTTGTTACTACACATGGTTACATAATTTTTCTTGTGATGAGAACTAGTCTCTTTCAACCTTCAACTATATTACAGAACAGTAATATAACTGTAGTCACCATGCTGTACATTCCATCTCCAGAACTTACTTGTTTTGTAGCTGGAAATGTGTACCTCTGGACCCCGTCACCAGTTTCTCCTGTCTCTGAAACCACCAACCTGTTCTCTGTCTCTCAGTTCAAGTTGTTTTTTTGTTTGTTTGTTTTAGATTCATGTAGAGTGAGCTCATGTAGTGTTTGCCTTTGACATAAACCACCTAGCACAGTGCCCTCAAGGTTCATCCATGCTGTCTACAGTAGCCAAAATTCCTCCTTTTTATGACTTAATAATATTCCATTTTGTGTATATATCATATTTTCTTTAGCTATCTGTCCATTGATGGGCACAGTTTGTTTCCATGTCTTGGTTATTGTAAAAAATGCTGTAATGAACATGTTGATGCCTGCATCTTTTTGAGTTAGTGTTTTTGAATAAACATCCAGAAGTGCAATTGCTAGATCATATAGTCATTTTATTTATTTATTTTGAGGATCTTCCATACTGTTTTTGCCTAGTGATTATACTCCCACCAATAGTGCGCATGGGTTCCTTTTTCTCCATAACCTTGTCAACACTTGATATTTTCTTGTTTTTGCTTTTGATAATAGCCATTCTCACAAGTATGAGGTAACAGGTCTTTGTGGTTTTGGTTGAATTTCCTGATAGTTGGAGGTGTTGATCATCTTTTCATGTACTTTGCTATCTGTATGTCTTCTTTAGAAAAATATCTATTCAAATCCTCTGCCCATTTTTAATTGCATTGTTTGCTTCTTTCTTTCTTGTTGAATCATGACACACACACACATACATATTTAGGTTAGATATTAGCCCCTTAGCAGATATATGATTTGTAAATATTTCCCCCATTCTTTTAATTTTGTCAATAGTTTGATGTTGTCTCACTTGTTTATTTTTCTTTTTATTGCCTTATTTAGGGAGTCAGATCCAAAATATCATTGTCAAGGCTGATGTCAGGGTGTTTACCATCTGTTTTCTTCTTGGAGTTCTATGGCTTCAAGTTTTATGTCCAAGCCTTTAGTCCATTTTGAATTGATTTTTGTGAGTGGTGCAAGATAGTGGTCCCACGATCCTTTTGGAAAACACACTCCTTGTCTCAGTATTTGTTCAACACATACTTGCTGACCGTCTAGATCGTGCTGATGCCACCCTAGGGGCTGAGGGCAAAGCAGCTACACTTCCTGGAGCTCTGCCTGAGGGAGTGATGAGAGGAGGGGAAAAAATCTGGGGGCTGCTTGTGGGGGTGCTGTTTACATCTGGTGCTTCCTGATGAGTTGATTTTGACCAAACCTCTGAGTGTAGTGAGGCTTTGAAGGAGACACAGTTCCAGCCAGACACATGGACAGTGTGTCCCGTCCCCAAGGTGGGAGCCAGATGGGTGGTCAGGGGTCAGGAGGAAAGTCACAGTAGCCAGCAGAGGCCTGGAGGGCAGAGAGGTGGCTGGCCAGGGCCCTTCTTTGATGGGGGAAACTGAGCAGCTCAGGGATGAATGTGGGGGTGCTGGGACAGGCCCTGCAGGCTATGCCTGTGCAGTTTTCCTAGTACTATTTACTGAAGTGACCACTGTTTTTCCATTGTATATTCTTTTTTTTTTTTAAAGTATTTTTCTTATAGGATTGGTTATGTGTGTTGTTTGTATGTATGTATGTATATATGTATAGAAGAACTCTGGTGTAGGCCAGAGGTGTGGGGGATGAGAGGATTCACCAGAGACAGAGTGGGGAGCAGAACAGCTGAATTTATTGAAATACACTGCAGTGAGTAAGACAAGAGAGGTCTGCTGGGTCATGTATGGGTTAACGCCCTGGCAGGCTATTGAACTTAGGCTGTAGAGGTGGTAGCACTGAGACTTGACCCCTAGGAAACCAGGGAAGCCTCCCATTGTATATTCTTGGCTCCTTTGTTGTAAATTAGTTGACCATATACATATGTGGGTTTATTTCTGGGTTCTCTATTCTGTTTCACTGAGTTCTGTGTCTGATTTTACCCAACACTGTACTGTTTAGTTATTATAGCTTTGTAATATAGTTTGAAATGAGAACATGTGATGCCTCCAACTTGCTCTTCTTTCTTAATTTGCTTTGGCTACTTGGGGTCTTTTGTGGTTCTGTTACAGGGCACCCCAGTGTGAACTAGGCTGCTTGTCTGTGGGTCCTCACCTGTACACCTAAAATTTAGTTGTACTGCAGGCACACACAAAAAGGCCAATAATGGGTTTATTTACAAAAGGGGAAAGGAAAAGGAACAACCCAGGGAAAGAGAGAGGGATACAAGGTAACTAGAATATCTTACTGGCTCTGCTGACTTGGAGCTCTGGTAACAAACTAACTGATAGCCCCCAGAGAGCCAATGCCCGAGTAAGAGAGGGCCTTTGGAAAGGGCTCCCTATTTATCCCCCAAAGTCCCAAAATGCCTGCTTAGCTCCACCCTTTAGTCCTCGCAGTTCTCTCCTTGGTACTGCTCCGAGTTGTAGTTTTCAATCAGTGGAGTAGGAGGTAGAGTCTAGAAAGCTGGAGTAGGGGGTGGAGTCCGTGAAACTCTGCAGAGTTCCTTTAGGCCTTTAGGACATCCTTCCCCTTAACAGTTCTATACATATATATATATATATATATATTTTAAAGATTTATTTATTTATTTGTACAGAACTGGGGTACAGGCCAGAGATGCGGAGGGTGAGAGAATTCACCAGAGACAGAGCAGGGAGCAGAACAGGCAGATCGACGAAGTACACTGCTGAGGGGAGCAGCGGGCGGGTCAGGAGAGGTCTGCCACGCCATGTGGTCACCTCCGGGGCAGGCGGGAATCGAACTCATGCGGAAGTGGCTTTAGCTTCTCAGTGCTGTGCTTTAACCCGCTGCACCACCAGGGAGGGCCACACTATTATAAAGCACAGCACTGAGAATCTAAAGCCACTTCCTCATGAGTTTGATCCCCGCCTGCCCCAGAGGCGACCACATGGCGTGGCAGATCTCTCCTGACCCACCTGCTGCTCCCCTCAGCAGTGTACTTCGTCGATCTGCCTGTTCTGCTCCCCACTTTGTCCCTGGTGAATCCTCTCACCTTCTGCATCTCTAGCCTGTACCCCAGTTCTGTATGAATAAATACATAAATCTTTAAAAAAAATAATATAAGTTTATTTTTACATCATTTTGTGCCTTTTTCTACCTCAGTTGTAATCCCTGTGGGCTTCCCATCACCAAATCACCCATGTGCCATCACCATAGTCCAGTGCACTTTCCTTCCCCCACCGTTTTTGATCCCATTCCCCACCCCCATGAAATGTCTCTGGTATATGGCTGTTCATTATTATTATTATTTTCTCCCCTGGTCCTTTATACTCCTACTATGAGTGAAACCATCTGGTATTTTCCTTTTTCTTTCTGGTTTATTTCACTAAGCATGATCTTTTCCAGCTCCATTCATGTTGCTGCAAAAGGCATGCATGTTTGTTTTTTTTTTTTGGTTGCTGAGTAACATTCCATTGTGCATATATACCCTTTATGGTTCTATACATATTTTAAAGTTGTTCTATTTCTGTGAAAAATATTGTTAACTTTGAAGCTGTAGATTACTCACTTGTACTTTCTTTCCCAGAGTGGTCCCTTGCTTGGTGCTGTGGGGAGCTTTGACTGGTCTGGTGGAGCCTTTCTGCATACATCAAATGTTGCATCCACCTTTATCACCTCAACCAGGGTACACTCAGAAATGCATGATGCTTACTTGGGTGAGTAAGAGGGGATGGTTACTCTAAGAAGGTATCAGGATGTGGCATCTCAACTAATGTAGGTATCATTAAATCTTTCAAAGTTCCCTTGTATAGCTTTAAAAACAGAAGTTTCAAAGTTTTACTTTAGTTATGTTAACAAAGGGGACTATTGCACAGGACATAACTACCTCAACTTGTGGCTGCTGCATTGTCTCTACTCTAGGGACAGGCCTGCTAGAGGGGGTAGGGTCTGTGAGGGAAAACACTTCTCCTCTTAGATCATCATCTTCAGGTTATGCTGTTGAAATCATCTCGAGGAACCAGGTGCAAAGCCTGGTTTTGGGGGCACCTCGATATCAGCACATGGGCCTGGTGATGATGTTCAGACAGAATGTGCGTGTCTGGGAGACCAAATCTTCGATCCAGGGAAGCCAGGTGAGTGTAGAACATGTGGAGTGTGAATTTGTAAATAGAGGTAAGTTGGGGGCTGAGACGTTCCAGGATGAAATTCCAGGATGACAGTTTTGCAAGGAGGCTTCAGAGGGTTTGATCTGGAAAGTCACAGGTTCAACTTTGCATTTGAAAATGCTGTGCCTTCATTTTTGAACAGCAGTAAAGAACAACCACTTCATATGTACAGAGTACTCTGTGAATCTTCTTGTATTCAGCTGTACCAGTACCTAACCAGCATTATATTAGCTATTAACATTTTGATGTAATTCCATATAGGTGTTGATAAATAACTGTTTCCCTGAGATGTTCTCCAACCCCCCATACTCTGGTCCCTTCCCTAGGACTCTTTGAACTTCCCACAATGAGATCAGGCAGGCCACCTCCAGGACCTGCTCCAGCTTTGACCTGGTTAGGACCTGAGTGATCCCAGCAGTTCAGTATTTTGCATATCACCCTAATAATTGGTGAGGTTGCATCTTATGTTGGGCATCCTATGTAAATCCAAAACTGCCTTACAAATTCCTACAATAGGACTGTACCCATGATCCTGTACCTTTAGTTCTGTGTGCATTTCTTTAACTTTCATCACTTGTTCTCTTTGGCTTGGTTGACAGCACTTTGCTCTGATACCTGAACAGCTTGACATAATCCTTGCCAGCAGTCAAACTTTTCTTATGGTCTTTCCATACGCTTTACCAACACATATTGACCACTGGTGGCATTAGTGTCTGGCACATATCAGGGTATGGAGGGGAGAATGTGTAGGAGGATTCCAGGAAGAGAAGTACAGATGTGAAGCTACATTTTTATATGTGTGGTCCAGGATCACACAACCCCCCCTCCCCCAAGTACACACAAGTACTACAAATAAAATTATAATCAAGGACATAAACTAAGATAGTGTGGATGTTATGAGAGGGACCCACATAAGGACACTAAGGATGCTTCCTGGAGGAAATGACAGTTAAGGTGGAAAAGCTCTAGAAGTGAAGAGTGGGGAAAGAAAAGGGCCAGAGGAAGGAGAGCACATGAGACAGCACTCAGTGAGCATATTTGTGTGTGTGTGTGGGGGGGGGTATTTTAAGGGAGCAGAGGAAGAATTTTGGGAAGAATACTGGGAAACAGATTCATCTTAAATGTATTCACTCCCTCCATTTCTACTACCATCAGCCCGGTCCGCACTATCATTATCTTTCCTCGGACCTAGCTGTAACCTCCTTACCAGTCTCCTGAAGCCCTACATTGCCTAATCTATAGAGGGAGCAAACTTTCTAAATGAGAGACTTTTTATCAGTCTTCACTTTAAGGCCTTTTGTTGACTGCAGGCCAATATAGAATAAATATTTAAAATCTTCAACAAAACAGCTGCAAGTAGAATACAGTAGTTATAAATAATTATTATAAAATAAATAGTGGAAATAGGAGGGTTCAAGAGTAGCCAGAGTAACAATGAAAAAGAAGGATAAAGTTGGAGAATTCATATTTCCAATTTTAAAACTTACCACAAAGCTACAGTAGTCAAAACAGTGTGGTACTAGCATAAGGATAGCCCTGTAGATCAAAGGAATAGAGCTGAAAGTCCAGAAATACATACATATATAGATGTATGAAATTTATGATCAATTGATTTTCAACAAGGGTACCAAGTTCATTCAAGGAAGAAAAATAATGTTTTCAACAAATGATGCTGGAACAACTGGGTATCCACAGGCAAAATAAATAAATAAACTAACAAATCAATCAAAATGGATCAAAAGATCTGTTGCAAAAACTGGAACTATAAACCTTTTAGATGGACTCATAGGTGAATTTTTGTAATCTTCAATTTGACAGTGAATCCTTAATTATAATACCAAAAGCACAAGCAACTAAATAAAAAATAGATAGATAAGACTTCATCAAATTAAAAACTTTTGAGTGCCCAAGGTTACTATGAAGCAAGTAAAAAGTATAGGGAAGCTATTTAAAGGTCTGGCATTTACAATATATAAAGAGTTCTTACAACTCAACAATAAAAAGATAAGCTAATTTAAAAATGAGCAGTATATAATTTACTCTTACCATAGCCTGGAGAAGAAAAAGCATAATCCTAGTAGAAAAATAAATTGAAAAAATACAATTTCCTTTCTCAGTATTTAATTTTCAGCACACTAGGAACTAAAGGAAACTTCTCAATATGAGAATACATTTACGAAAAAATCAGGGCCCTCTCTGGTTATGGGTTAAGGCACAGCACTATGAAGCTAGATGCAGCCTCTTCAGCACAAATTTGATCCCCGGCCAGGAAGGTGACCCACGTTGCTTGGCAAAACTCTCCTGTCTCCCCGCTGCTCTCCTCAACAGTGTACTTTGTCTGCTCCCCACTCTGTCTCTGGTGAATCTTCTCACCACACCTGCACCTCTGGCCTGTATCCCAGTTCTATATGTATAAATAAATAAATAAATAAATCTTTATTAAAAAAATATATAGCTGCCATTATACTTAAGAGTAAATTAGAAACCTTTTCTCCTAAAATTTGGAAACAAGCCAAGACTATTTTGACCACTCTGCTCAATAGCACACTGGAAGATTTAGTCAGTGAAATAAGGCAAGAAAAAGGGATGAAGAACATACGGAATGGAAAGGAAAAAATAAAACTATCAATTTGCAGACTACAAAATTGCATGGAAAATTCCAACAACTCTACAAAAAGGCTATTATCACTAAAAAGTTATTTTAGTAAGTTCTCAAAATACAAGATCAACATATATGAATCTGTTGTATTTCTGCACTAGTGATAAGCCCTTGGAGATTTAAATTTATCTTGAATTACAGTGTGGGTTATATGTGCGCCAAAGGGCTTTCTCCCCAGGGATGACTTTTATTCCTTGGGAGAAAATTCCCACACTCTGTTCAGGAAGAAGAAGTATGTGAAACTGGCCCCGTCTCTTTCAGATCGGCTCCTACTTCGGGGCCTCCCTGTGCTCTGTGGACGTGGACAGAGACAGAAACACAGACCTGGTCCTCATCGGGGCCCCCCATTACTATGAGCAGACCCGGGGAGGCCAGGTGTCCGTGTGCCCCTTGCCCCGAGGGGTGAGTGGCTGATGGGGCCAGAGTTGGGTGGGGCCTGGGGGTGAGGGGCTCAGGTTGGGGCCTGACTCCGTTTTGTTCTGCAGCGAGCCAGCTGGCAGTGCGTGGCTGTCCTCCGTGGGGAGCAGGGCCACCCCTGGGCGCGCTTTGGGGCCGCGATGACCGTGCTGGGGGACGTGAATGGGGACAAGCTGACGGATGTGGCTATCGGGGCCCCGGGAGAGCAGGAGAACCGGGGTGCTGTCTACGTGTTTCACGGAACCTTAGAACAGCGCATCAGCCCCTCCCACAGCCAGGTGAGGCCGCGTCACTGTCCCCTTCTAAGTCAACATTCCTGTAGCAGCCAGAACAGTTATCCTGGTGCTTCTGTTCAGACTCTTCAGAAATAGCCACACACATCACAGAAACCTCATCTTCACCTCAGCTGCAGTGGGTGCAGCGGTGCTCATCACCTCAGCTTCACAGATGAGGCGAACACGGAGCTACAAGTAGCAGAGGGCGGGCTCAAAGAGTTGGGGTGTACACCTTCCTTTCTCTTGAGTCAGTCTTGATGGGGTGACCGATAGTCCTGCTCGGCTTGGAGGGGCCTGAGGCCAGGTCCCAACAGTCCCGTCTCCCCAGGGCCCTCTGCACTGCCCCTGTCACCCTGCTGCAGCCTGCGTGGGCTCCAGACTGCCTTGGGCACACAAGCCCGCCCCACCCTGCTTCTCGCCATCTTGAAATTCTAAATAATGTTTAAACAGGAATTCCACTGTTTTGTTTTTTGCACTGGGTCCTGCGAATTATGTAGCCCACCCTGACGCCTGGCCCTGCCATCCTGGTGGCGCACCTGAGTTCCTCTGACAGCCCCGGCCTCTGGGGTGAGGAGTCCAGGAGGGACCCAGCCACTGCCCTCTCCTGCCACTGGCGCTGTGGCCAGCCCATCTTCTGGCCTCTGTCGCCAGCTTTCTCCAGCCTCACATTTTTCTCATGCCCTTTCTTTGTAGGGTTCCCTTTGCCCCCCACCTCCCTGCCCACACTCCATTTCCACCAAACCCCTTACCTTACAGGTTCAACCCTATTAACACTTTGAAATCACCCAAAATCTTAAAAAGCACAGGTGCTGGGCTCTGCCAATAGGGGTTCTGATTTAGTTCACCTGGGCTGGGGCCCCAGATATCAGTGTGTATTTTTCAGCATTTTATTTGGAAACATTTCAAACATACTACAAAACTGAAGAATCACACAATGAACACCTGTCTATTCACAGGTGAACACTGAATATACAAGATCTACAATGGCATTTTACTAAATTTATTTTTATCATATATCCACCTTTTATCATTCCTTTTCCTCTTCATCTTATTTTTTTAAAAAAATTATTTATTCATACAGAACTGGGGTACAGGCCACAGATGTGGAGGGTGAGAGGAGAGAGAGTGGGGAGCAGAACAGGCAGATCGACGAAGTACACTGCTGAGGAGAGCAGCGGGCGGGTCAGGAGAGGTCTGCTGCGCCATGTGGTCACCTCCGGGGCAGGCGGGGATCGAACTCATGCGGAAGTGGCTCAAGCCTCTTAGTGCTGTGCTTTAACCCGCTGCGCCACCAGGGAGGGCCTCATCTTATTATTTTTAGTGTAACTCAAAATGATTTGAGGCATCAGGTCCTCTTTGCCCCTAAATACATCTGCATGCTATGATAACTAGAATTACTGTTATTTTATATATTATCTTCTAAAGATTTATTTTTAATTTATTTTTTAAATTTTAATACTGGGGTATAAACGCGAGGTGCAGGGTGACAGGATTCAACAGAGACAGAGTGGGGAACCAATCAGGCAGAAGGCCTGAAATCCACTGCTGAGGGGAGCAGCAGGTGAGACAGGAGAGGTCTGCTGGGCCGGGAGGGCCAGCTCCCTGGCTGGGATTGAATTCTGCTGAGGTGGCTGTAGCTTGATAGTGCTGAGACTTTAACCTCTGTGCCACCAGGGAGGTCCCTGCTTACTGTTATCTTTAAGGTAATATTTGCAAGCAGGAAATGCACATATCTTTAGCTATTCAGTTCATTTTGATAAACATATACACCTGGGCAATTCATATGCTGTCAAGACACAGAACATTCTCATGACTCCAGAAAGTGGCCTCTTGTCCCCTGCCGGTCATTTTCTTACCCGCTCCATCCCAGAGCAAACTGCTGTCCTGATGGTTCCCATTGTGGTTGAACCAGTCTTGCCTGTTCCAGAACATCACATAGAGGAAATAGGGTGCTCTGCTAGACCCAGTGTTTTTTCCACCCACTTTAGATGCAGCCAGGCCAGAAACTCTGGCCAGAAACATCTCTTTGTGCCTTTTTCCACAATTGTGTGAATACTGTAAGGAGGAATTTTTCATTGGACCTATTGTTTCTCTATGTAAATGAGATTTGAAGGCTCTGTTTTACTTACAAAAGTTTTACACATTTGCACGAATTTGGAAGCCTAGACAGTGGGAGCCCTAGTCCCCTTCTTTTATCTGCACCATGACTTACCCCACCAGGGAAAACAAGGCCCAGGGGAGGGAACGTCACATGGACACACAGACACAGGCACAGAAACGGACATACACACACACACAAAATGGGATTAAAAGCGAATGTGGAGGCCTGCTCTGGGGGTGCAAGGGATTAAAGGGCAGCACCATGAAGCTGTCTGCAGCTACTGCAGCACGAGTTCGATCCCCAGCCAGGGAGCTGACCCACAGGGCACAGCAGATTCCTTCTGTCTCACCCGCTGCTCCCCTCAGCAGTGTATTCCAGTCCATCTGCCTGTTTTGCTCCCCACTCTGTCTCTGGTGATTCTTCTCACCCCTTGCTCCTCTGGCCTGTACCCCAGTTCTTGTGTGCATAAATAAACAAATCTTTTTAAAAATAGCAAATGTGGACAGGATTGGCCTATTCTGTTGTCCTGCTTGCATTTTTTATTTCTTCTCCCCCACGACTGAGTCCAGGATGCTCAGCCATGCAAACACGGTGAGCCTCTCCCTACCACTGCCTCACGCATAATTTCAGAACAAAGCTTCTTTCCAACAGAATGCAATACAGTTTCTCAAAGTAAGCACATAAATCTTCAATGATGAGTTTTTACATGTGCAAAACTGAGCCTCCTCAGGTGTGCTCAGGACACAGCACCTCTCCAGTGTCCCCAGCGCTTCGTCCTTCCTTTCAGCTGACGAAATCATTTAAACCTTTTTTTTGTGGCAACATCTACATGACATAAGTTTACTCAGCTTCTTAACCACCTTTAAGTAGGCACTTCAGTGGCATTGAGTCAGGTCAACATCACTTCAAACTTTTCTTTTTAATTTATGATCTGGCTGTTATGCTTTCAGTGTTCTCTTGGAGGCTGATTTGGAGAGATGTTGTTCTTAAAGGCTCATCATGGAAAACAACTTCCCTGGTCACTCTGTGGCTTCCTCATTGCCTGTTCTCTTGAGGAAAATGAGCCATTTGCACACTTCCCAGTAACAAGCTTATTCTGCTGCTTCTTGACTTTTGCTTTCGCTCTGACTTCCCAGCTTGCTGTCAGACCCCCACATGTATCATTCACCCACCGCCTACTTCTCGTACTTACATAATAATTTTAGTTAGCTGAATTTGCATTATCCCATTATCCTGACCATGTATGTGAGACTCAGCTGAGTGGAAGAGCATACTACATACAATGCTTTTGTTTTCCCTGGAAAACCCAAGAAATGAATGGAAACTTTGGGCATTATCTGAGGCTGTGGCTTAAAACTGAATAGTTACCCTAATTTCTTGAGGGCTTGTGGGGGATGAGACTTGAGTGTTGCCTAGACAGTCTCTTCTTGGTTCATCCTGCAGGACTGAGTTACCACCTCCTTAATTGTTCCCATTCCCTGTCGTCTCCCCCTGTATTCTCAGCGGATCACGGGCTCCCAGCTCTCCCCCCAGCTCCAGTACTTTGGGCAGTCGCTGAGCGGGGGCCGCGACCTCACAATGGATGGGCTGGTGGACCTGGCTGTGGGGGCCGAGGGGCACGTGCTGCTGCTCAGGTGAGAGCGTCTTTCAGAGCACACCAGGTGTCTTCCCAGCCAGCTGTCCTTTTCTTGGCTGAAGGATCCTGATGGCCCTTGGGTGTCCCTTCAGGTCCCAGCCAGTGCTGAGAATGGAAGCAAGCATGGAATTCACACCCAGAGAAGTGACAAGGAATACATTTGATTGTCGTGATCAGGCGGTGAGAAACCAGGTTGCTGGGAAGGTCAGAGTCTGCCTCCACATCCGTAAGACCACAGTGGACCGGCTCAGGGAAGGTGAGGCTGCGTGGGTCTTTCTCAAGAGGTTAAGTGACTGGGTGCACTGATGGGTAACCCAGTTCAGCCTTCTCAGCCTCCAGCAGCCTAGAGCAATGTTCTCATAAGGTTCTACAGCTTTCGCAAAGGTTGGATGGAGTGAGCAAGGGATTTTCCTACTGGGTGGGGAAAAGGGATTTGAGAGGGGAGGCCTTGGTAAACACTTTGGTCTTTTCATTAGAACAATGTCCGTTGAGGCTAGAAATCAAGAGCATGATAGACTATAGAAATAGACCCACAGAAATCTGAGCTACCAAACAGGAATTTTTTTTTATTACAAAGTTTATTTTTACATCATTTTGCATATATATTTTTTTCCATCTCGATTGTAATCCCCGCGGGTTTCCCATCACCAAATCACCCCTGTGTCACCACCATAGTCCCGTGCATTTCCCTTCCTTCCCCCCCGCCCCCGTTTTTGATCCCATTCCCCACTCCGCCCCCACAGAATGTCTCTGGTATATGGTTGTTCATTATTTTTGTTATTTTCTCGCCTGGTCCATTATACTCCTGCTATGAGTGAAACCATCCGGTATTTTTCTTTCTCTTTCTGGCTTATCTCACTAAGCATGATCTTTTCCAGCTCCATCCAAGTTGCTGCAAAAGACATGTGTTTCTCTTTTTTGGTTGCTGAGTAATATTCCATTGTATATATGTACCACATCTTTCTAATCCAGTCATCTACTTTTGGGCATTTGGGCTGCTTCCATGTTTTTCCAATTGTAAATAAAGCAGCAATAAACATGGGGGTACAAGTATCTTTTTCAATCAGTGTTTTTGTGTCTTTTGGATAGATACCTAGGAGTGGGATTGCTGGGTTGTAGGGAAGCTCCATGTTTAGCAGTTTGAGGAACCTCCACACAGTTTTCCATAGTGGTTGTACTAGTTTGCATTCCCACCACAGTGCAGGAGAGTTCGTTTTTCACCACATCCTTGCCAACAATTGTTGTTGCTAGTTGTTTGAAGATGTGCCATTCTCACTGGGGTGAGGTGGTATCTCATTATGGTTTTAATTTGCATCTCCCTTATTACGAGTGATGTTGAACATTTTTTCATATGCCTGTTGGCCATCTGCATTTCCAAACAGGAATTTTTTTAATGACCACAATTATTAGCTTTAAGAAAAAAAAGAGGAATTGTGGGAGAATTTCAGAAAAAGAGCTCATTAAATAGAACTGAGTGGGCACTCTAGCACTAAAAAATACACTGACTGAAGACTTATTACCAGATTCGGAAGCAGAACAGAGCATTAGTGAACTAGAAAGTAAAGCAGTTGAAAGTATCCAGATAATCAGAGAGAATAAAGGATGAAAAACAGAAAAAAATCATAGATAGTTGGGACATGGTAAAAGAACAAATAAACATGCTATTGGGATTCTGAAAGGAAGCTAGAGAATAATAAAGCAACACTTGGTGAAATCATGATCAAGAATTTTCTAAAATTAACAAGGAGAATCTCTATAAGTCAAGGCAGGATAAATACAAGGGTCATCACACCACGGAACATGAGGGACACAGACCGCATCACATATTGTACCGTACCAAAGCACAAACTGCTGAAGATCAAAGGCAAAACATTAAACACAGCCAGAAAAATAAACTTAACTTTCTGGCATACAGCACAGTAGATGCCTCCTTTCGAGCACTCGTTATCAGCTGGCCTTGTGCAACATGCCTGTTAGACACCATTCCATTTTATTTCCACTACTGGGGAACTAAAATAATGTTCTCAATTGAAACAAAAAATAAGGAATTGGGGTTCAGAGAGGGCTGATGACAACAGGGAGCCAAGCCTGTCTCCTCCTCGAGCTCCTCGCCATGACCCACCCTGTCCCTTCAGGAGAGATCCAGAGTGTCATCATCTATGACTTGGCCCTGGACCCTGGCCGCCCCTACCCTAGGGCCATCTTTGAGGAGACCAAGAACAGCTCACGCACACATAAGCGGACACTGGGACTGAGCCAGCAGTGTGAGACGCTGCAGCTGCAGCTGCCAGTGAGTAAGGCCACTGTCATTGGGTGCTCTGAGCAGGCTGTGGGCTTGGGGAGCCGAGGAGCACGGCCCTCTAAACCCTGCAATTCCCAGGAATGTGTGGAAGACTCAGTGACCCCCATCATCCTGCGCCTCAACTTTTCTCTGGTGGGGAGCCCCCTGTCTTCTTTTGGGAACCTCCGGCCGGTGCTGGATGCAGTTGCGGAGAGACACTTCATGGCCTCGGTGAGTCCTGGGTTGGGAAGCTGCCAGGGTGTAGCAGGAATCCGACGCCAAGATTGTGGAAGCTCCTTTTATTTCTCTTCACACCAATTTCATGTTATTACAAACATTTTTGTTGTTTTTAAAGATTTATTTATTTATTCCTACAAGAGCTGGGGTGTAGGCCAGAGTGTCGGGGGATCGAACTTGTACTGCAGTGGCTGTGGATAGCTCCATAGTGCTGGGTTTTATTTAACACATTGCGCCACCAGGGACGGCCCTAAAGTTCACTTTAATGTTAAATTTTCTCATCTCATACCATTTCACTGTTAGGTTTGATTTCACTGTGTTCTATTTTGTACAGTTTCCCTTTGAGAAGAATTGTGGCAACGATAGTATCTGCCAGGATGACCTCAGTGTCACCTTCAGTTTCCTGAAGTGAGTTTCTTTTCCTCATGGCTTCCTGCCAGCCTGCACCACAACCTGGGCCATGTCCCTGCCGTGCTGCCTACCAGGGAGCCTGGCTGACTGCCGCTTCAGAGGCGCCTCTGTGGCTGTTTCACCCACCGCCTTCCGTCTCCCAGTGCCTGCTCCCGGTCCCACCAGGGTAGACACGGGACACCCTCGGTATCTGCTGGCCTGTCTGTTCTCCCCACAGCCTGGACACCGTGGTGGTGGGTGGTCCCCGGGACCTCAATGTGACCGTCACTGTCAGAAACCAGGGCGAGGACTCCTACAGGACGCAAGTCAACTTCTTCTTCCCTACCGGCTTGTCCTACCGGAGGGTGTCCCAGGCCCAGGTAGCCAACTCTGCCAAGCCTATCTGTGTCTTCACCATCCCCGTGACTGGTGGTTGAGTGACCTCTGCCTGCCTGGCCCTCCAGAACCCGCGCTCCAAGCGGTCCTGGCGCCTGATCTGCAACTCTGGCGGCCCCAGCGGCAACCCCAAGGCCCTGAGGAGCAGCAGCTGTTCCGTGAACCACCCCATCTTCCCAGACAGCTCAGAGGTCAGAGCGGCTGGCCTGTCTCCTGGTCTTCTTCAAAAGTCTTTTCTTCTTCTTCTTTTTTAAAGTAGAGGTTTCTTTTTGAGGAAAATAACTTTATTGAGATAGAATCCATAGACCCTACACGTCAATAAACACAATTGAATGGCTTTTAGGGTCCTGCACCACCATGGTCAGTTTTATTATTCATTACCCCAAGAAGAGACTCTGCTCCCTCCGCTCCGGCCCCATATCCCCACTCATCTGCTTTCTGGATGCAGAGCTGCCTCTCCCGGACATGTGGTGCTGCGGCCCCGCGTCACTGGCCTTGCGCCTGGCTCCTTTCTGGGTGCGGGGCTGTCCGGGGCTGTCGCGTTGTAGTGTGTCCCAGCATGTCGCTTCTCTTGTAGGGCTGCACCACAGTTTATTTATCCATCCTTCAGTGATGGGTTGTTTTTCTCACACATCCTTATCCCTGTCATTTCTCCAATCCAGGCCATCTTTACTATCACGTTTGATGTGAATCCTGATGCAGCCTTTGGAAAAACCCTTCTCCTCAAGGCCAACGTCACCAGGTGCGCTGTGCCCGGCCTCCCCAGGCCTCCCCCCCACCTTTGATGTCCCACACCCTGCCCAGGCTGGACCTTTGTCTTCTCACTGGTTGTCCCTTCAGTTCATTCATTCATTCAACAAACGAAGGCAGCTTGGCACCTGCCATGTGCCAGTGCTGGTGGGACAGCGATGAGCTAGACAGCGGTTTGCTTCCGTCACAGAGGTCACAGTTTATGGACAAAAATAGATGGCAGAGCTGGCGATTACAATAGAGTGTGAGGTAGAGTGTCCAGTGTCCCTGGGAGCCTGTGTTGAGAGGAATTCCTGAAGAAGATCTCTTTAGGCTTTGAGTTAGCTGAGCTAAAGCATGAATTGAGGGAGGGTAGGAAGACAGAAAGAAAGCAGTTGCAAGCAGAGCCTGGAGCTGGAAAGGCCAGGTGGTGTCTAAGTGTGACCTGGGCCGCAGTCCAGGGTCTGGAGAGCTGGGTGGATGTGAGCCGTGTTGTCAAATGATTGATGAGTGTCACCAGGACATTGGTAGTTTGACTTGGAGTGATACAATCATATTTACCTGCTAGAAAATCACCCTTCAGGAGTGCGGAGGGGGTGAACAGTTTTGAGTTCAGGGACAGGGAGGAGAGGTTCCGCAGATACCCAGATGAGGGCTGCGCAGGGCCCCATGGGGCTGTTGCGGGAGAGCAGTAGTGTGTAGGCTGTGGAGCGATTAGGACTTGGTCTGACTGTGGTCAGTCGCAGATGGAGGGAGAAGGAGAAGGAAAAGTGGGCTCTGTCCATTCTCAAGGGCCTTCCTGGTGGTGCAACGGGTTAAATCGCAGCCACTACAGCATCAGTTTGACCTCTGGCCAGGGAGCTGACCCACATGGCACGGCAGCCCTCTCCTGGCCTGCCCACTGCTCCCCTCAGCAGTGTACTTCAACGATCTGCCTGTTCTGCTCCCCACTCTGTCTCTGGTGAATCCTCTCATCCCCTGCACCTCTGGCCTGCACCCCAGTTCTTGTATGCATAAATAAATGCAAAAGAGCTGACCAGAGCCCGTTTCCCTTCAGTGAGAACAACATGCCCAGGACCAAGAAGACTGAGTTCCAGCGGGAGCTGCCTGTGAAATATGCCGTCTACATGGTGGTCACCAGGTGCTGGCTTCTGGGCTTCAGCTCAGCGTCCCCCTGGGCTGGACGTGGGCTGTGCATCTGCATGTGTGGGTCTGTGCACACGGTGACGCTGTTGTGTCTGAGGACAAATGTGTGTGTGTGATGTGTGCACGGGTGTGTATTTGTGTGTGACCCTGCACACCACCTTGTTCTCACCCTCTCACAGCAGCCTCACCCATGTGCCTGTATGCCCCCTGACACGTGTACCCCAAAACCACCTCTCAGGGTGCCTCTGATGTTTTGTGCCCTTCTTCCCATCAGCAATGATGTCTCCACCAACTATTTCAACTTCACTGCCTCGGAGAAGACCAGCCGGGTTATTCAGCATCAGTATCAGGTGGGGAGAGAGGCCTGGGGGGTGATGGAAATGCGGAAATGCTGGGAATGTACATCCCTTCTGTGTGCCAGGCTCTGCCCCCCCCATCCTCTCACTTGGTGCACTCATTAGCACACGCACCTGTGTACACACATAATTAGCTCAGCTTATCCTCACAATGATGTGACCAAGGTACTTTCACCCTGATTTATAAGCAATTGGGGTTCAGAGAAATGAACAGAACAATCTCCCTGCTAGTAAGTGGAAGGGAACCACTTGAGACCATCAGGCTGCTCAGAAAGTCATCACGGACGCTCTGCCCTCAGAAAGCATCATGAGACAGGACCAGGTTCTGCGAGGCATTTTTCCGGGGCTGGGCTGGGCTGGGCGGAGGCGGATTCTCAGTGTTCGTGGCGAACAGGGCCCTAACCCCTCCTCCCCATGCAGTTCAAAAACCTGGGGCAGAGGAGTCTCCCCATCACTGTGGTCTTCTGGGTCCCCATCAAGCTGAACCAGGTGGCCGTGTGGGACACCCCCCAGCTCATCTCCGAGGTAAGCCCAGCTGGGCCTGAGGAGAGCCCAGCTGCTCCCTGCTATTCTGGGCTTCCCTGCAGTCTCTCCTCTGTTGTACTTCGGAGCCATGTCTGGCTCTCTCCTGCACCGAGGCCGTCTTGTCCTGTGAGAACGGATCTCCTTTCTCTGTCTCCTCACTGTGTCTCTCTCCTCAGCAAATCTCCAGCAAATGCACTGAGGAACAGGTGGCTCCTTCTCGCTCTGACTTCTCGGCGGAGCTTCAGAAGACCCCAGTGCTGGTGAGGGGCAGCCCCATGCCAGCCTCAGCCACATGCACACCTGTGTGTGCCGCTGGTGCCCAGGCCTGGCCTGCGTCCAGCCGTCTTAGTCCTTTCCTCCCTTGCCCAGAACTGCTCCACTGCTGTCTGCCTGAAAATCCAGTGTGACATCCTGTCCTTTGGTGTCCAGGAGGAATTCACCGTCACCCTCAATGGCAGCCTCTCCTTTGACTGGTATATCCAGGTGCGTGGGGGCTGCGGCTCAGCGGCCTCGGGTGGGTGAGGGCTGCCGACCCAGGCCCCACACTGTGTCTTCCACAGACTCCACATAACCATCTTCAGCTCACGAGCACCGCGGAGATCTTGTTTGACAGGTCCTCGTTCGCACTGCCTCTAGGGCACGAGGCCTTTGTGAGGGCCCAGGTATCTATCATGGGTGCAAGGGGCCATTGGAGGGGGAGGAGAGGCTGGTGCAGGTGGAGGTGGGGGTGGGGAGCACGGGGGTGGGGGCATAAGGAGGGACTAGGGGTTGTTGGGTTCTAATTGGGCGCCCTTAGAAATCCAGAGGCTACCCCCGCTGATGTGCCCTCTCCCCTCCTCCCCACCCCAGGCAGAGACCAAGGTGGAGCCATTTGAAGTATACAATCCCGTCCCCCTTGCCGTGGGCAGCTCAGTGGGTGGGCTGTTTCTCCTGGCCCTCATCACGGCTGTGCTGTACAAGGTACCCGTGTGGCCCTCCTGCTGCTCCGGGGGCCCCTTGATGCTCCCCTGCACCGGGCCCACCCCAGCAGGGCCCCTGGCTGAGTGACCCAGCGCAAGTTACAGAGCCTCTCCGTGCCTTAGTTCCTTCACTGTGCGGCTGTAAATGCCCACTTTGTGGAGGACTTGGGCAATGGGCAGGAGCGCTTAGGACGGCCCTGGTGCAGGGCCCCACTCTGTGAACAGCAGCTCTGCTCCCCCACCCTCCCCCTCCCCCCCTTCTCCTTCTTCACTGGTTCTTTCCTGGCCCCAGAAGGGATGCCACCTCCCTCCCCGCCTGCTCTTTGCGCCCCCCTTGACCACTTCTTTGCACTCTGTCTCCTCTCCTGGGCGAGAGGCCTCACCTGCTCCCCGCCTGGCTGCAGTGCCCTCACTGCTCATGTCTCTGCCCCTCAGCTCGGCTTCTTCAAACGGCAGTACAAGGACATGATGAGCGGAGACGTCCCCGAGGCCGCCCCAGAAGCTGCCCCTCCCCAGTGACGGCGCCTGTCCTGCCTCCAGCATGCTTGTTTGCACCAGCACCGGCTCCCAGGCTGCTGGACAGACGCTTCCTGTCGGCGCCCGGGGGGTGGTGTCTGTGCCGTCTCCCCCCGTGCATGTGTGGGTGCCAGTGTGTGCGTGAATGCGTGTGAGCTGTGTGTGTGGCTCAGAGGTCTTCGGCGCAGGGCAAGTGCCTTCAACCTCTGAGGCGGAGTGGGGTGGCTTCGGCCTTCCTGTGGGGTGAAGTTGCGGTTGGCCTTCCGCAGGACATAGGAGATGGCAGCTCTTGTAGGTGGACAGAAAGGGAAAGCTCCCTGCTGCAGGGAGCACAACTCCGGCCGGGGCTTGCGTGCTGAGCAGCGACAGCCTGTGCAGCAGACAGAGCCTACCCGGAGAAGCCGCGCCGTCAGGACCTGGACGCAGGAGCCTGCCCGGGCCAGTCCCCCCACAGCCAAATTGTCCATCGAGCAAGGCTGCACCTCCCTGTGCCTGTCCATTTATTTATTATGTTAGCATTACTTTTACTTATCTGATTGGGTACCTGCCCGTAGTACAAAAACCAAAAGACGCAGAAGGGTGTGTAGTGAAAAGTCTTCCAGCTGCTCCCCCAGCTGTGAAGGTCACTCCTAAGGGCATTCCGGGCTGGATACCTCGGCATCTCCTTCACAAAGACTCCAGGCATATGCAAACACATGCACACACACAGCTTTTTTACACCAAAGTTACCATCAATTACTTACACTATTCTGCAGGTAGCTTTTCAAATTTACATCGCTCAGCCGTGTTCGTATCAACACATTAAGCACTTTTGCATTCTTTCCTCCAGCTGCATGTTATTCCTTTGTGTAGGTGAAACATGCTGTATTTCACCAGGCTCCTTTTCATATGTTATTTTCAACTTCTTGCACTTATAAACAATGTTGACTTAATTAAATGTATGCCTGTTTGGAATATATGTAAAGGTAATTATAGGATACACTCCCAAAATGTGGAGTGAAAGAAGTTTACTTAAGAGCAGCTTAGGAAGTACCAATAGAACAGCATGAGGTACAGAACAGAAGGCAACCTGTGCACCACTGTGTACCCCTGGAGGATAACCCCAAAGGGGGGTACTGGGAGGTACAGTAGAACACCCCACCAGCCTGGTCCCAGTGGAGGAGAGAAAGGCCTGGGGGCACACTCCCCAGTACCACAGAGTTACTGGCTGAGGGCTGCCCTTGGTGGGAAGGGGGGTTAATCCCCTGCCCTGAATGTGGGCAGAGTGGACTGGGGTCCAGAGAAAGGGGCAGCAGACCTGCCAGTAGGAAGTGTGACAGGTGGTGTAGCTCCTGGCTTAGCCCACAGGGCTCCAGGCAGGACCCTGACAGCCTTTGCTACCCAAGGTTTGTGCAGTTTTTCCTTCTCAGGTGAGTACTGTCTCCCCCTTCCCTGACTATCCCACGTAGTCACCACTGCGCCTACCTCTGCACACATCTTGTCTACTCTTCACACTAGTTCTGCTCAGTGGTCACCACTTCCTCTCAGCGTAACTGACTTTCAGTGATGAGGAATCTGAGGCTCAGAGGAACAAACCAGCTGCATGAGCCCTTACAAGTACAAAGGGAATGGACTCAAAACCCACCTGACTCCAAAGGTGTGGAGATAGTGAACCTAATGAAATCGCTGGCATGTTTGTTGACAGGAATGATGATTCCCTGAGATTCATTGAAGTACAAGAACGTCCTGGCTGAGGGGGATGTCTGTCCCAAGTAGGGTGGGTGGGAGGGTGGGCTCAGTCCCGCTCAGAGAGGTAAAGGAAAGATCCCCAGGACAGGCAGCACCTGGCTCAGGTAGAGGCAGGTTCCCAGTTAGAGTCCAGGCGAGGCTGGGACTTTGCAAGCCAGAACGAGGTGTTTTTGGTCTTATTCAAAGTGCAACATTATGTCACCCAACAGACTCAGGACTCCTGAGAGCTTGGGGACACCACAGAATATCTTACCTTTACAGGTGTTGACATGGTTTTCTGCCCTGACTTTAAAACTCAAGAAAGTGTCTCTCTCTTCCTTCAGTGGGACCATATAAGTGCACAGTATCTCGAAATCCTTAACTGATCCAGGAAAGGAAGGGGCCCTGTCCCCCTATTCCCGTCTTTGGAGAGGCAGTTAAGTTCTTGCAGGCTCAGAGTTCAGCCTGTTATCTGTAAGTTAGAAGTTCGTGTTAAATTCAGCCAGATAAGAGCTTTACGATGGGTCAGAAAGTAAATAATTTCTAGAGGCAAATGTCTCTCTTGTGATTACAGAGGTACTGATAAACAGGTCCACAAATCTCTGGTGAAAGCAGCCAAACCCTTGTTGGGGGCCTTTGCTCCGAATGGACAAATTCCTTCAGTCTCCCCCACCCCCCAGTTCTGATGGGGCAGCCGTGGTGGACAGTCTGGACTCGGAGCCCCTGAGGACTGTGCCTCCTTGCGCCACCCCTCCTTTGCCATGTCACATGGCTGCTCCCCAGCTTACAGGGAGCATCTGTTTCCCTACTTGTTGAGCTGGACTGGTCTGGAGTTGGCATTGATCAACAGAATGTGCCAGAAGGGATGTCAGGTGACTTGAGAGCCTAGGGCTTAAGGAGCATGCAGTTTCTTCCTTTGCCCTATAAGAGCCCCAAGACCACCTTACAGGGACCCCTCTAACATACTGGAGCAACCAGATGCAGAAAATAACAGATACTCCTCCGCTGACAGCCAAGGGGCAAGTGTGAGGGGTGCCTATCATGGACCTCCCAGCCCCGTCCAACTGCCCATGGCTGACCCGTCCAACAAGAGAACCACCCAGATTGTCACCATGCAGAACCACGAGAGACAATAAATTGCCAATGCTTCCATCACTGTGCTGTGCAGTGATTGTGACACACTAGTGCTAAAGAGCACAGCTTCTAGTCTCTCTTGCAACAGGGTGGCCAAGTAACAGTTCTGAGCAGTTCTGAGAGCGGAGTGAAGGGACTTGGCCAGGTCCTTGAGCACCCTTGCTTTCTCATTCCTACCTTCCCACCCCTGGAGCCTGAATGCCATGGTGCACCACTTTGGACCTCGCAGGTGAGGGCCACGCCCTTGGAGGCCAGGCAAGGTGGTGGGGCCTGGGTTCTAACTGCAGAAACACCCTGTCAGCCCTGGCACCATTTCTTCCTGGCTGCAGGAGGGACATGAACACTGAGCTGAAGCACAGGCGTCCTGGGCCCTGACACCACCCTGCTTCTGGTCTGCAGCAGGTCCTGCTCTCCCAGAAAGGTGATGCTGGTCCTGGAAGTGAAACTTGTGATGAAGCCTGAACCTCTCTTGATGGGGTTGCTGCCTGAGTCCCAACACTCTTGTCCCCTCATCACCACTCATGGTATGGCTGGTGCCCAAAATAGAGGGGCTGGCAGTGTTCCCCTATGAGATCAGAGAAGGTATTTAAGGTGACCTTGGGCTGTGGGGCCTAGCTCAGCCTACCTCTGTGGTTCACCTTCTGCTCCGGCCCTTCCCTCTCAACCTCGTAGTTCTCAAATGCAAACATGCATGGGGTGATCAACCCGGACACTGTGGAGAGTGAGAGGGAGTGTGAGTATTGACAACTGGTGTTAGGCCTCCCGTGGCCAGCAGGGGATGCAGCAGCTCCCCTCTCACTTCCCAGCCTTGGCCACAGGGTAGCCTTTCACTTCCTGTCCTCCTCCTCTGAAATCAGCTCTCAGCTTGAGTATTCCTTCCCCCAGATTCTCCTTTTGCTCTGCTGGATAATGCCTGCCTACACAAACAGATGACAGTAGGTCAGAAGGCGCTGACTTTCAGCCTGCAGCAACCAGTCAAAGAAGCTGCCGCCTGTAAGTGAGTTTTGGGGCTCAGACCACACCTCCAGCGACAGAAGCACGGGGCCAAAGAGCCAGAACTGAAACAACTGTCCCTGTGTGACACAGGCTGTGCAATGTCTGCCCACTGACAAATTCCGGATGGAGGGGAAACACTGAAAAATCAGAATTTCCATTGCTAACTTATGTCACGACCTCCCTTTTTTGTATAATTATAATATCAAAGCAACTGGATTGCCTTAGCTTCATGAATTGGCTACCTGGCCGGGGCAAAGTACGAGCTGCCCCAGGGCAGGAAATTCCTCTGTGTCTGGAAAGAAAAGGTAAGTTCCAGGAGAGATAAGGCCCCCACCCCCCTCAAGAGCATTAAGACTCCTGGGACCCTTCCTTGGTCTTTTAAAACAAAAAGCAAACCTCTGCTGAAACTCACAGGGCATAAGGACCCATGGACAATTTCCTAACATTATTCACACAGGTTTTGCTTAATGCATAACTATGTGACTTCCTCTTAATTTACCCTTTTCTTTAACAATCACTAACTACCTTCTGCTAGTCTTAATTAACCTTTTCCTAAAACAAACACTAACTACTCTCTGCTAACCTTAAGTTAGCCATTAGCTTTTCTTTAGATTATCACTGATGACTCTGCTAACACAATTTATTCTTTCCCTAGGACTCCTAAATCCTTTGCTAACAGCTTGTCCTTTCCCAGACCCCCTTATCTTTGAAGGTTTAGTTAAACATCCGCATATATACATGAAAGTCATCACAAATACGTACAGGTCCAGTATGCCATGAAGTGTCAGGAAGAGGATGCATTGTTCCCCTCTTCCTTTAGAACTTTTATGCTGATTTATTATTAACTTACCTGATGCATTATTGTAGCTAACTCTTGCTAAACAGTATAAAGACTGCTAAAAAGATGAGCAGGAAGACTTACACCCAACTCCGATTCCCGTGTCTTCCTTGTGCCTGCTCCCCTTCCCCCTTTTTAGGAATCTCCGCTCACTGACTTTGCTCCCACCTTAAGACCCTGCATGTTCTGCCCTCCAACACTCTGTGATTGGGGCCAGTCCCTGACACCTGTGTCCAGACTTGGCTGGTACTGCTGTCTCTCCTAAACTCTGTCTCTGCTTTTTGCCTCAGCACCAACCAGAGGAAGCCAAATATGCTCCCTTAACTGATCACATAGGGTACCCAGGTTCTATCTGGCCGGACTGCAGCTCTCCAGACCAGCCACCTCCAGACAGCTCACATCTGAAACCTCACCCTTTCTTGCTTCCTGCTCAAGTCTCTGCCCACATGGTGGCAGACTTTCTTGCTAAAGCAAGCTCTCTCTTGTTTGGGTGGTCTTTGCTTATCTCTACCACCTTTTGGTCCAGCTAGTGTGGTAAAAAATAAATGTGGCTGTTTCCTTCCCAGTTTCTCTGAGCATTCCCATTCTGACATGGACTTGGAGGAGCAGTTGCTGAAATTCCTCTTTTTACCTGCCACTCTCCCTCACCCACCCTCCCACTTAAGAGTTCCAGCCTCCTCTGAGTAAGTGTGATTGAACATGCTGGTCACTAGGTTCTGTGGTATAAACACTTGCCTGTGGAGAACAACTTGCTATCAAGTTTAGGCTAAAATCTGAGGCAGAGCAAGTAGCCAGCTCAGGCCCCCTAGGACAGCTCTTCCTGGCCCAGGGTCTCCCAGAGACCAGGAATGTCTGGTGTTCTGTGCTCCCACCCCACCTTCCTGGGACTCTGGGCTCAAAGAAGCCATTCTGTAGTCACGGGTGCTGTCTGAGCCCTTCCATAGGCCTCTAGCTTAGCACCAGTTTCCCAATTTCTGTGTTGGCTCCAGGGGTCCAAGCTGCCTCCTTCACTGGAACGGCCTTGAGCCCCCTGTCCTCAGAAGGAGCAGCAGGAGGTCAGTGGCAGGCCAAAGCGGTGGGCCAGGCCCTGGCCTCAAGGTGGGACCCATTTTGTGGTGACATTTCAAAACATCCCCTCCGCCACCCCACTTCCCTCAGATCAGGCAGAAAACAGAGCTGGATGAATCTCTCCTGATGCCAGCCTTGTTCTCACAAAATCCTTCACATCTGTCCAGTGAGGTAGCTGTTACTGTGCC